ACGGAGAGCCGAGGCGGAAGCGAAGCCGCTGACGTGCGCGGCGTGCGGAGGAGCGTTCTCAGACACGAAACATTTGAGGCAGAGCCAAAAAGAACATCATCGATGGTCGAATCAAAAAAAGGTGGTGTGCGGAAGCTGCGCGGCACTCGGGTTCACAGCCCGCAGTTGCCAGGCGTATCAGTGCAGCGGCGCGTGCAAGAGAAGACTACCGAAGTCGGCGTTCCCCGACCCTCACAATGTCCCGCGCGACGCAAAAAAAGGCACTCTGAAGTGCAAGACCTGCAAATGATGCCGAATCGGGCGCGCGCGCTGAGGAAAAAGGAGAACGAGGACAGGAGAATGGGGGGTGAGGCGGAGGACACAGGGGAGAATCATCGAACGTGTCGAGGTGACGGGCCATGAACAAGAGGAGGGGGACGAGGAGGAGGGGGACGAGGAGAGGGTGGTTGAGGAGGAGGATGAGGGGGACACTGAGAGGAGGCTCTGGGTTATGGTCTTTGGGTGAGAGGTTCTTGTATGTGTATCGGAATTTCGCGGCACTCCTTTCGGGGGCCTCTGGAAAGCAGTTTTGACGCCACTGGGGGGCCGACGTGGACAAGGCGGGTGAGGGGGAGGAGGAGGGGGACGCGGAGGAAATGTTCTGGGTCATGGTTTTGGAATTCTTCGCCTCGGGAGCGCGAATCCCGCTTGTGCGATGATCGCTGGGATCTCTGGTGGTGCTTCTCGCGGGACTCTTGGAGGCAGTTTCGAAGCCTCTTGGGGGCCGTTTTGGGGCCGTTCTGGGGCCTCTTGGGGGGCCTCTTGGGGCCTCTTGGGGGCGTCTTGGGGGCCTCTTGGGGCCTCTCGGGGCCTTTTAGGGCCGTCTCGGGGCGGAAGGCTCGGGATGTCAGTTCGGGCTCCCTCTCTTGGGCCCCTCTTGGGGCCGTCTTGGGGCTCTCTTGGGCCGTCCTGGGGGCCTCTTGGGCTGTCTTGGCGCCCTCTTGGGCGGACTTGGGCGCGTGTTGGGGGCCTCTTGGGCCGTCTTGGGGCGGTCTTGGGGTGCTCTTGGACCGTGTTCAACGCCGTGAAGGCCGAGAAGCCGTATATGATCAAAATGTACGTTTTCCATAGGAATTTGAAGATTTTCGGCTCTTCGGCCCTTCTGAGAACTGCTCTTGGAGGCCTCATGGGCCGTCTTGGAGGCCTCTTGGCCCGTCTTGGGGCCATCTTGGGCGCCTTGGAGCGTTCGTTTGGCGTCTCGGGGCCCTCGTGGGCCGTCTTGGAGGAGTCTTGGGGCCTTCTTGGGCCGCCTTGAGAGACTTTTGAGCCCAAAGAAGCCCCGTGAGTCGCTCGGGCGGGGCCATGGGGGGGGGGTCAAATCGCCAGTTTGGGGTCCCTGGGGGGGGACTGTAGGGGGGGGAACTATCTCACACGCCTAGGGACCCACAAGGGGTCGGCGGATTTGACATGGGGGGTAACTTATGGCTTCGATCCTCCCCTGCACCCGACATCCGGCGGCTCGGGCAATATCGAGACAACTGATCTGTGTGGCCATTGTGGACCTCTGGAGGCTGGTTTCGGGCCTTGGGGCCATCAGAAACGACGAATTGCTGGTCCAAGGTAGGGGTCGCTATGGCTGTGGGCCCACGCATCAGAAACAAAAAAAAACGCTGGATGTCTGAAGCTGTGGAGGAGGATGAGGAGGAGCTAGAGGAGCAGGAGGAGCAGGAGGAACACCAGTATAATTCGACCTCCAGGATTTGCTTGATCTCCGCCTTCGTTTAGGGCCAGATCCGCCTCGAAATCATGCTCAGGACGCGCCCCAGGAGAGGTCCGGGGGTCGATCCCCAGGGAGGAGGAGGAGGAGGAGGAGGAGGAGGAGAAAGAGGAGGAGGAGGACGAGGAGGAGGAGGGGGATGAGGAGGAGGAGGAGGAGGAGGAGGAGGAGGAAGAGGAGGGGGACGAGGAGGAGGAGAAAGAAGGTGTAGGAAGAGGTGGGATGAGCAGGAAGAGAAACGTACGAGAAGGAGGAGGAGGAGGAAGAGGAGAAGGAGGACGAGGAGGAAGTTGGGGTGGACGAAGTAGAAGAGAAACTTGAGGAGGAGCAGGAGCAGGAGGAGGCGGAGGAGGGGGGCACTGGTGGATCAGGAGCGGCACAATGACGCACGCGTAACTGCGTGATTTCACATGGGATTCGAGTGGGCGTACTTCGCGAGCGTTCGTGACAGGGCGGTCGCGCGAGCTGGGTTTATATTCATGTACATGGCTGGGCGCGTAAGTCCTCCTTGGGCTCCGCTAGGGAGGAGGACGAGAAGGAGAGGGAGGAAAAGGAGGAGGAAAAGTGACGAGAACGACGAAACGTTGGACCGTAGAGAAGGAGCAGGACAGCTAGGTGTGGGAGCATATGGAGGGGGAAGGATGAGGAGGATGATGATGACGCTGATGCTGATGATGATGCGGATGATGATGATGCTGATTGTGATGCTGATGATGATGATGCTGATGATGATGATGATGATGATGATGATGGTGATGGTGATGGTGATGGTGATGGTGATGATGATGATGATGGTGGTGGTAATCATGATAATGATGATGATGGTGATGATGATGATAATGATGATGATGAGGATGATGATGCTGATGATGATGATGATGATGATGGTGATGATGATGATGATGATGATGATGACGACGATGATGATGATGATGATGATGATGATGGTGATGGTGATGGTGATGGTGATGATGAGGAGGAGGAGGACGAGGTGGGGAGGAGGAGGAGGAGGAGGTGGCGCATTCTGCTTATTCCTGCTGCCTAGCTGTCCACAAGTTCAAACATTCAATGTTCGCGGCGATCAAAGCCTACACCCCGCCCCCCCCCCCCTGGCCGTGCTTGGGCGACACGGCTCTGTTTGAAGAGCGTTGATTGAGGGCCATTCTCGCATAATAGTTGACCGCTCTGGGCCCCCACTATCCCCTCGGCCTGTCGTGCAAGCCCCTGCACACTCGGCCATGCCGCGCACCAGCTGATCCCGAAACTGAAGCTGAGGACAGTTGACTCTGAGCTCTGCTTCGTCGCACCCCGCTCGAACCACATTCCCTGAGGTGCATAACAGCTAGCAGTGCCCGCCCTCTCTCCTACTCTGGTCCCAGCCGGGGCTTGGGTCATCGGGTCAGGTGCTGCTTCGCCGCCCGCCCTCTCCCAGCCACTTCTCGCATCCGCTCGGCCCGCGGGCTCTTGAGATGCACCGCAGCTGCCGCTGCCCGCGTTCTCACACCCTCTTCCGAAAAAAGTGGGCTGTAGTCCTCGGGCCAGGCTTTGATTCGCCGCCCCCCCCCATCAACTCCCAACCGCATCTCGCATGAGCTGATCTCTGCACCGGCAGTGCTGGCTGCCACCGCTTGCCTTCTCGCACGGGCTGGCCCCTGTGCTGTAGCAAATGCACCGCTCCCACGATCGCCCCTTGAACAGTGCCACATGTTTCTGCTGCGTACTTTTCGCGAGAGCTGTTCCCTGCATTGTAGCTGGCGGTCCTCTCTCGCGTCCGCCGTTGCCGATCCCAATGCCTCGCTGTACCTCATGTCCGTTTCCCACGATCGACCTTCGGGTAAGACCATATGCTGCCATTGCTTCCCTGGTCGCCCGAGCCGATGCCTGCGCTGTGGCTGATGATCCGCTCCCCAAGCCCCACCAGCCAGTGTCGGATCGCTCGCTCCCGCATGAGCTACACCCAGCATTGTACGTAGCGGATGTTGTCGGATCGCACTTCATCGCATGAATTAACCCAGCGTTGATGCTGGTGACGTCGGCTCGCACGCACACGAATCCCAGCATTCTGGCTAATGTTATTGACTCCCCGCTTCTTGCGCGAACTCATCCCAGCGTTGGCGCTGATACCGTCGACGCGCTCGCTCCCCCAGTTTTCGCGCGATCTGAGTTCAGCATTGTAGCTGATGTCTTTCATCTCAGTGCTGATGCTGATGATGTCGGCCCGCACGTTTTCACACGGGCTAGTATCCAGCATTGTTGACTGATGTTTGACTCTCTGTTCTTTGCCAGCACTCTTGCAGGCTGCGCCGCGCTGGCGGCCGCTGCTGCTCCCGAGGAGGGACGTCGACAAGGGGAAGGATGACAAGGAAGGGACAACGAGGAAAAAGACTACTGCTGGCCGCGTGAGCACCTGGTCTCAGCATGGCAGCTACGGTCGGGAACTTTAGGTTAGCTTGTCGCTCCGCTGGTTCTGGCTCACCGCTCTGCGGAGTGACACGCTATCCACTTCCCGGCCCCGAGGCGTCAACGTCCCGAGTTTTCTGAAGTTTTCCGCCCCGCTGAGCGGAGCGACACGCTATCCGCTTGCAAGGCATAGCGTGTCGCCGTGTGGCCGCCGGGCGACACGCTATGCATCAGTTCCTGCCCCATACGGACGATGGGCGTCACGTCTCTTGATGAGGGTGGGGGAGGGTAAGGAAGACCCAGGATCGAGGATCTGTGAGGGAGGAGGAGGAATCGGAATCGCAATCGGAACAGTTGCGAAGCAACATCAACATCCGGCAACACACCACTTCCTTCTCGGAACTCCCCGAGTGACGAGACGACCCAGAAGCCAACGAAGACGAAGAAGACAGTGCCTTCAAAGCCAGACTGCCACGACGCGGAAGAGAACCTTTACGTTAGTTCACCAAAGTTCCGTACATGAACAACGGTGTTCATGTTCCTCAGCACCTCCCGCCTGCAAAGTAAAAGCCCTGACAGAGATGACGAGAATCGATTCAGGGGCAGTCTGCGAACCACGAATATCACAGTAAAATGAACACTGATAAGATTCCCGTCGACTGCCCCTGGAATGTGATCCAGAACGGCCCGTGAAACCACCAACAGCACAATGAAGTGAACATTGATGAGAAACCCGAGGACGAGGAGGTAGGCGGAGGGAACTAGAAGGAGTAGATGGAGGAGTAGGGGGAGGACCGAGGACCACATCCCACCTTCGTCATTCCTCCCCCGCTCGGCGCTGGAGGCCACGGGGACGACATCGGGAAGTCCGCGCACCTCGCCAGGATCGGCAACTCCGTCTTCCCAGACCACTGCGGCGACGACGACCCCAGGTTCGAAGGTTCGAGGAAACGCACACATGAATTAGCCCGCAGAGCGGGGCGTTGTATTCTTGTTCACCAGGCGTTGTCGTCCAGTTTCAGGCCCAAGGCCCATAACATATCTATCCAGCTCGAAGAATGCAGAAAGATTGGGTCTAGAGATCCAGTCCCTTTTTGTCCACGGTTGTGTGTCTTTCAGCAACATAGGAGCTCAGGGACGGCGTCGAGTAGCGGCGGATCCCACTATGCAGAATCGGCGTCCTGTCGCCACATTTGGCTTCACCGGCCTCATGTTTCGGGGGGCACCTTCCCCGATCCGTGGACCTGGCGCCCGCGCGCCCGCGCGCCAGGTCCACGGATACGTGACCCATGCTGGCGCGCGCCCGACAGGTGCACGAAGTTCGGCATAGACTCGAAGAGGGAGCATCTGAATAGGCACAAACGTTCGGATGTCCGCGCGGGCTTCCTGCTTCGGCGCCGGCCCCCCCGGGCGGCGCCCCCGTGGCGCAAGCTTTGGCACGCTGGGGCGCGCTGAGGAGGGGGGTCCAGCGCCGATGCAGAGGACTCCGCGCGGCGCCCCGAAAGGTTATGCCTATGCCGACGCTCCTTCTTCCGCATACGCGGACGGCACCCCCTCGCCAATGATGCGCAAGTCGTTGCTTTACAAGCTCGTTCGGCACGGCATCCAGGGTGTGGCCGCCAACGAGAGCCTGTTCAGGGAGGTGCACAAGTCAGCGTATGGCCTGCTGCGCGTGTTTCAGGTGGTCAACGTTTCCCAGGAGAGCAAGGAGCTCGGGAGAGCGAGAGGGCCGCCGCCACCCGAGCGCTCGCAGGCCCCTTCTGGGCCAGATATTGTCCCCGTTGCCTAAAGCAGGGTTGTTCTCATCAGTGTGATGCCTCCGCCTCCTCATGAGGAGGACGGAATGGAGGGGAGGATGGGGAGGAGAAGGAGTATAAGGATGTAGGAGGAGCAGGAGAAAGTGGGGGAGAACGATTGAGGATGATGGAAGAGACGGAGGGAGAGGACGAGGATACGGTTTACCGATGGGAAACCGAACACGCGCATGACAATCCCTCTTCCTCATCACCTCCCGCGTCTTCCGAGCGTCATCGCTTGCTCGTTTCGTCCTGTTCTTTCGTCCCGAGCCTCCAGTCATCGCCAGCAGAGTGATGTCTTTATTTCTCGGGGATGCGCTATGGGCCAGACGGGCATTGACGCCTCAGTAGTTCGAAACTCCATGTCGTCCCTGCCCGTGAGACGACGATGTCCTGAGCAGGCCTTAGTGGGCCAGATTGGTCCATCAGGCGTGCTCGTCATGCTCGTTTGTACTCGTCAGCAACGCCTGAAGCCGAGTAGTAGATCGAACAGGTGTTCCTCAGGACACTCTCCAGCTGGCAAGGCATCGCTCGCTCGCTCGCTCACCTCCTGCCTGCTCCCTTGACCCTCCTCATACTCGGACCACTTACTCAGGCTCATTCTCAGCCAAGTTCGTTCACATAGAAGATGCGTTCATACTCAGACTCACTGGCACTCAGACTCACTGACGCTCAGTCTCCCTCACGCTCGACATACACTCTCTCACACCAGACTCACTCACACTGAAATTGACAGACTCACTCACATACATACTTATCCGGCGGGCTTCGCCCCCATGCCGCCGGCCCCCCTCTCTCTTAGCAGGGACTTGCCAGAGCTGTGTTGGGATGTCTGGACGCTGACGTGGAGCAATGTCTGAACTTCACGCGAGGGCCAATATTGATTTACGAGCGTGTATGGCCCCGGTGGCGCGAATATTAGGTACTTTACCATGGTTTATGGCTTCGGGGACGCGAATCTTGTTTAATTGATGCGGGTGTGTGGCCTCGGAGATGCAAATATTGTATACTTTACCTGGGTTCATGGCCTCGAGGGTGCAAATTTGGTTTAATTTGCGAAAGTTGGTGGCCGGGACGCGAATCTGGTATAATTTGCGAGGGTGTGTGGCTTCGGGGACACAAGTTTGGTGTATTTTTCAAGGGTTTTGTGGCCTTCGGGACGCGAATATTATGGAATGTTTGAAGGTTTCTGGCCTCGAGGGCGCGAATATTTAGTAATTTACATGGGTTTATAGTTTCGGGGGTGCGGGCATTGCTTAAGTTGCAAAGGTTTATGGTTTCAGGGACGCGAACACTGCGTACCTTACGAAGGATGTTGGGTTCGGGGACGCGAATATTGCATAATTCACCAGGGTTCATGGTCCCGGTGACGCGAACATGTCGTAATTTTCCATAGATTATGGCACCAGGAACGCGAATATCACATAGTTTCCGTGTCCCACGCCCCCCAGGAATTCAGACAACGCGATCTGGGTGTTATATATAATATTAGAAATAACAAAAAATTGGTTTGGGGTTCCCCCCCCGCGAGTTCAGCAACAATTATCAGTAATGAAGCAGAAAGCAAACCTGTAACAGTGAAAACTGGAAGCTGCAAGTGAAGCAGGGAGCTGCAATCATCATGCGTCGCGATGCAGGCGTGGCATTTCGAGCCGCCAGGGGGGAGGTCGCTTGCCCGTTCGCGGCCAGGTTGTGTGGAAGTCTGAAGCGGTTCGCTCGTGTGACGAACCAGAGCCTTCTTTTTTCCCAACCATCCTGTGGTGTTGGGTCCTCGTTTTGAAGAGACAGCGCCCCGCGTCCCACCTTCTCCTCCTCCTCTCCTCCGTGCTGCCGTCCGCATGCGTCCCGCACACCCATTTCGGCACACCCCTCACACGTTTCGCGGCCCCATAGGGAGCTCCACCGAAGGCCCCATGGCTGCCGTCCGCATGCGTCCCGCACACCCATTTCGGCACACCCCTCACACGTTTCGTGGCCCCACAGGGAGCTCCACCGAAGGCCCCAGTGCTGCCGTCCGCATGCGTCCCGCACACCCATTTCGGCACACCCCTCACACGTTTCGTGGCCCCATAGGGAGCTCCACCGAAGGCCCCATGGCTGCCGTCCGCATGCGTCCCGCACACCCATTTCGGCACACCCCTCACACGTTTCGTGGCCCCACAGGGAGCTCCACCGAAGGCCCCAGTGCTGCCGTCCGCATGCGTCCCGCACACCCATTTCGGCACACCCCTCACACGTTTCGTGGCCCCATAGGGAGCTCCACCGAAGGCCCCATGGCTGCCGTCCGCATGCGTCCCGCACACCCATTTCGGCACACCCCTCACACGTTTCGTGGCCCCACAGGGAGCTCCACCGAAGGCCCCAGTGCTGCCGTCCGCATGCGTCCCGCACACCCATTTCGGCACACCCCTCACACGTTTCGTGGCCCCACAGGGAGCTCCACCGAAGGCCCCAGTGCTGCCGTCCGCATGCGTCCCGCACACCCATTTTTCGTGGCCCCACACCCACTCACACGGCACACCCCTCACACGTTTCGTGGCCCCATAGGGAGCTCCACCGAAGGCCCCATGGCTGCCGTCCGCATGCGTCCCGCACACCCATTTCGGCACACCCCTCACACGTTTCGTGGCCCCACAGGGAGCTCCACCGAAGGCCCCAGTGCTGCCGTCCGCATGCGTCCCGCACACCCATTTCGGCACACCCCTCACACGTTTCGTGGCCCCATAGGGAGCTCCACCGAAGGCCCCATGGCTGCCGTCCGCATGCGTCCCGCACACCCATTTCGGCACACCCCTCACACGTTTCGTGGCCCCACAGGGAGCTCCACCGAAGGCCCCAGTGCTGCCGTCCGCATGCGTCCCGCACACCCATTTCGGCACACCCCTCACACGTTTCGTGGCCCCATAGCACCGAGACATAACCGCGTTTCGATTCACACGGCGTTTCGTGGCCCCATAGGGAGCTCCACCGAAGGCCCCATGGCTGCCGTCCGCATGCGTCCCGCACACCCATTTCGGCACACCCCTCACACGTTTCGTGGCCCCACAGGGAGCTCCACCGAAGGCCCCAGTGCTGCCGTCCGCATGCGTCCCGCACACCAGGTGTGTGGCGTGCCGACATGGGCGTCGCGGCGCGCGGGCGCTGCCGTCGGGGTTCCCAGGGAAGCCCCCTGCAGAGGCGACGCTCAGAGTCACGAGTACCGAGAGTCACGCAGACCCAAACTGTTCACAGTCGTATACATACATTTAGACTGGGCGTATCCATGCACAATCGCGCGCAGATTCATTCATAATCAGACTCGCTCGTGATCCGACTCGCACGCGCTCAAGCTTTCATATTCGGACCTACCGTCTTCGTTCGTGTTGTGTACATTGCCACGCATTTCGGCACACCCCTCATACGGCTCGTGGCCCCATAGGGAGCGCCACCGAAGAAGATATTCACAATTGCGGTACTCTCAACTGCATATGGTTGGGTCCTTCGCCAGGCTAATTTTGAGAGCCCCATGGTCACTGCTATATAGCAGGCGTGTCACTTGGGCACCTCAAGGAGAAGCCGCCAGGAGGCAGGACACTTTCGCGTCCGCGGCGGCCAGACACCTGGGGATGCCTCAGGCGGTCTGCTCGTTTTGAGGGACAGACCCCTGTTTTTTCTTTTCGGATCATGGCCACCGCGATTTAGCAGGCGTGGCATGTGGGAACCCAAGGAGAGGCCGCCAGGTGGTAGGACATTTGCCTGTTCGCCTTAAGAATGTGGGACGTCTTAATCGTTCGCTTGTTTGCCGGATTGCCCTATGACCACCGCGATATAGCAGGCTTCACGCGTGGGCACCCCAAGGAGTAGGACACTTGTCCGCTCGTGGCCATGAGGATGCCTCTGGCGGCTTTCTCGTTTGCCGGATCAGGCTCTTTTGAGAGTTCCATGGTCACTTCGATATAGCAGGCGTAGCCTTTCGGCACCCCATAGAGGTGCCGCCAGGGGGCAAGACCCCTGCGCGTTCGCGGCCAGACCGTGGGGATACCTCAGGCGGTTTGCTCGTTGTGCGAGGCAGATTCGTTTGTTTTGAGAGCCCCAGAATCACCGCGATACAGCAGGCGTGGAATTTGGGTGGCCCAAGGAGGAGCCGCCAGGCAGGGGCGCATTCCCCCATTCGCGGCCTGATTGTGGGGATGTTTCTGGCGGCTCGTTCATTTGGCTGTCCCACACTTCCCTCTTCTCTCCTCCGTCCATCCCGCCGGCCCCCCCCTGCCGCCATGCAGATCCACGCAGATTTAGCTTAGTCATATTCAGATCCATGCGCGCAAACCACACACACACACTGCTCATTCACACCCAGACTCACTCACAGCTCGTTCGTACTGATGTGACCTGTTCTGAGACCACACGCGCTCTTACCCCTGGCACTCAGACTCAACCATCCCCCAGACTCACTCACACTCAGACCCACTCGCACTGAGAATCGCTCACACTCAGACTCACCACGTTCACACCATTCACATTCAGATGCGCTCAACGCATAGAACTTCGGCACACCGAGGGGGAGCCGCCAGGGGTGTTACACTTGGCCGCTCGCCGCCAGATTGTGGGGGACGTCTCAAGCAAAACGCTGGTTTGGGCACCCCGACTTCTTTCCATGCAGAGCCCCATGATCACTGCGATGCAGCAGGCATACCACTCGGGCCCCCTACGAAGGAGCCGCCCAGGAGCGCCCAGAGGCCACAGGCTTAGACTTTCATCTAGGCGCTCACAGCGGGATGTGCCAGATATCGAGATGCACATCTCCGCATCAAATGATTTGGTCTGCTGGCCTTGCCGGGAGCCGACAGGCACCGATGGGCAGGCCCGAGCGGTTCTTTTTGATGGCCTCGTGGTGGTTTAGACATGGCCCTCTCCGTGCAAGGAGCCACGAGGGGCGAGCATCTCCGTACCCACGCCCTCGCTGTTTGGCTTCCGGGGCGCGATCCCTGTGGACGCGCGGTCGCCCAGGTGCTGCATTCTGCGCTGGGTATCCGCGAAAGCACGCCCCGTGCACGGGGCGTGCTTCCGCGGGGTCGCGGCCCAGGGGCCGGTCCCGCGAGGCCGTGGCTGCGGACATGGCTATCGCCCACTGAGGAGTGGGTGTCCGACCCCAAGAACAGGGTCTGCGACGCCCCAGGGAGTTGGTACTGCGTCGGGCAGTACCCACCGGCGTTGAAGGAGCTGATCGCGAGCAGGCGCAACTTCGCCCAGCTCGAGGACTTCAACAAGGTCCGCGGAAGGAGGGGCGACACCACCACCAGGGCCACCCTCTGTGAAGAGGTCCACGTTGGCACCCCTGAGCTGGAAATTCGATTTGTCTCAAGCGGGACGGCACACATCGACACCACACCAACACGGGAACGCCCCTCTCCCTCTTGACCATGGTGGTGGAGTCGTCTTTTCTGCAGAACCCTCGACGTTCTGTTTTTTCCACAACGTGGACCCACGGAGCTCTCGACCCTTTCTCTGGGACCAGTTCTTCTTCGAGCCGTCTCTGGATTGGCCCCCAGTGCGGTGCCGGAAACAAGCGCCAGGGTCGCCGCGATACGAACCGGCCGCACGCTGCCGTGCTTCCGACGTCCCGCCAGGGCGGCGGCCAGAAGAGCGCGTACACGAGGCTGGTGGAGAGCGAGCAGGCCAGAGGCCGAGGAGCGGCAGAGCTGTAGCGCCCCACCGCCAGCCGCCGGCCGCGGGCGCCAGCGGCCCTGGCGCGTGGCTCCCGCGGCCGTCGCCAGCCGCCGCTGGCCCGCGGCGCAGCCGGCCGCCGCCCGCCGGCCGTTGGCGCCAGCGGCCCTGGCGCGTGCCTGGCTCCAGCGGGCGCAGGCGCCGCCGGCCGCCGGCCGCAGGCGCCAGCGACCCTGGCGCGTGCCTGGCTCCAGCGGGCGCCATGACATGCTTGCTCGCTTGCCTGCGCCTCGCTTCTCACCCCTTCCCTCCTCCTTTCATCTCCCTCTCTCTCTCTCTTCTCCTCCCCGTTTTTCTCCTCCATTCTTCACGTCGTCCTCGTCGTCGCCCCTCCCGCGCGCGAGGAGGAGGACGACGTCTACGATGACGCCAATGCCGACTCCGACGACGACGCTGCCCACACGTCGACGACGACGACGACGACGATGACCCCCTGGACCTGCCCTGCGGCACTCCCCGGCCTGGACCTCGTGGCGGACCCTGCCAGTGGCGGCCGCAGGTCCGCCTTCGCAGGCCCACGAGACCCTTGACCCTCGGACCTGTCTCTTTCGCTCTTCTTCAGTATCTACTTATCCTTGATATATATATATATATATATATGGACATATATATATATATATATGTGTGCGTATATGTTTGCAGGGTGTTTCTAGCAGTTTGTGTGGCGCTATCTCTGTGGAGCAAAGTACGTTGTGGAATATATGTGGTGCCATCGATGTGGTGCAGCGTACGTGGTGCCATTCGGGTCGTTCGATTTGTGTTGTGCAGTCCAAGATGTGCGGTATATGTTGTGGAACCTACGTGGTGCCGTCTGCGTGGTGCAATGAACTTATTCTCGCAGTGAGTTATCAAATTCCGTGCTCGCGCAGTAATCCCACCCACCCACCGCAAATGGGTTTGCATCAGCCCATGCGACAGCGATTGCGATGAGTGCTTGGAGTTGGCTGGTGCATCTCTGCGGCCGCGCCTGTCTGCGCATGCTCGCGCGCGCAGCGCCCAGCTAGTTTGGCGCGACCATTTTTTTTCCCCACGGGTGCTGGCATTCGCGCGCGACGACGCGCGCGTGTACTTTTCGCATATTTATTGCGAGGGTTTTTTGGACAACTGATGATTCTTGATATGGCAGCAGAGTTCAGTCTTGTGTTGTTTTTCCTTCTCCTGAACAGTGGCGGGTAGAGCTGTGCGAACCGCATGCGGCTTACATCGAAACGAAACGAAACGATGATTCTTGATAAACGAGTGCGCGCGCATATCACGTTTGCAAAGGATGGGGGTGGGGGTCCATACCTGCTTGCCTGGGATGGTATGGATTCATTTTCAGGATGGACGATTTGGGGAGAGTCATCTGCAAATCGCAATACGAAAAAAATGAGCACCGTTTCAGTCGGGTGGGATTTCAATTTTTGCTAAGGAGGAACAACAGATGTTGAACAACTGGGGGTTGTCAGTTCCACTGCTCGCGCAATCATCCCTTCCACCCACCCATCCGCACTTGGGTTTGCAAAATTCATGCGTGCGATGGGTGCTTGGTGTTGGCTGGTGCACCTTTGCGGCCGCGCTAGCCCGCGCATGTTCGCACGCGCAGCGGCCAGCTAGTTCGGCGCAGTCGACGCGGCCGCGGTGGTGCTGACCGTCGGGCACTTTCCAGCGCTTCTCGCGGGCCGCGCTGACGCGCGGGCACTGCAGCTCGAGCCGGTGAGTTTGGGAGGTGTGGTCCCATGACGACGACGACAAACGCAGACACGATGATGGTAGAAGTGATGTTGGTGACGGTGATGACGATGACGACAGCAAGGCAAATGACGGCGCCGATGCTGATCACACGGATGACGATGATGGTGTCCACGTGTGGGCGTTGAAGGTTTTGGACAGATTTCGACGCGCGGGCGGCCGACGCGCCCGAGTGGCCCGCATGACATTTTTTGACAGGGATCGTGCCCAACCCCCCACCAGCACGAGAGCAAGGGCGGCCGCATGATTCCGACTTGCACACGCGACAACCCCGTTTGGTCGCATATGATGGAGATGTTGGGGAACCTCTGGTTTGCGGAACAACTTGCAAGAGAGCGCGCACACGCCTTACGTGTTTGTTGTCTGTGTTCGGGACGTTCGGTTTTGAACTCGTTCCGAAACCGACAAGGTTTGAATAATTCCGGCATGCGCATGCGATGGCGCGTGCTTGCGTTTTTCGTCCCGCTTTTGTTTTGTAGCTAATTTTGGGGAAACGAGTGTGCGCACATAGTGTTGTTTGCACCGGATGTTGGGGGGGGGGTCGATGCTTTGGGGGGGCGGTAAGTCCGAATCGTTTTCTGAAATCCGAAGTGTTTGTTTCCCGGAAACAGAATATTGATGTCGGGGCTGCGACGGCGGCGATATAGCAGGGCCCAGGCACGGGCCCAGGCACTGGCGGCGACGAGGCGGCGACGGGGCGGCGATGGCGGCGACATAGAGTCCAGACCGACAAACAGCCCAAACACGGACGGCGACGAGGCGGCGACGGGGCGGCGACGGCGGCCACATAGCCGCAAGGCCGAGGACAGGACCCAAACGCCGTGCGGCGACGAGGGGGCGACGGGGCGGCAACACGGCCACATAGCCACAAGACCGAAGACATTGCCAAGTTTCTTGGATCAGCACTATGAACCCCGAAGTGCGATCACAGCTTGGGATTTTTGTATCCGCGCACATATGTATATGTATGTATCGAAGTAGGCCCCGGGGCGGGGGTGGGGTGGTGCCACCGGTTGGCATGGACGCCCGGGCGTCCTTTGGGGTCCAACAAACCCGCCCAAGACGGCCCATGAGGCCCCAAAGACAGGCAGGGGCCAGGCCACGCACACGCCTCCCGCCTTGAGTTCGCCGCGACGCGAGCATGCCTGGGTCGGGGGTTGCCAGAGGGTCCCCTGGCCCAAGGTGCCCCAAGCTTTTCGTTCAATTGCGGAGCCCCTGGGGCCCTCTGGGCCTCGCGAGGGGCGCTCCGGAGACGGGGGCCCCCCCTTGGAAATCCTGGGGGCACCTTCGGCCCGACGCCCTCGGATGCCCCGAGGTCGGGCGGCCCAACAGGCTTCCATGGGCGTTCCCCAGAAGGGCGCGAGAAACCCAAACCAGTGATATTCCATAAGTTTTTCTGCCTCCTCTCTCGGCTTTCCGAGCTTCCGGGGCTCAACAGGCCCCCAAGGCCGCCCCGAAAGGGCGCAAGAGGGCCCCAAGATTGCCCGGGATAACCCCAAGACGGCCTTAGAGGCGCCCAAAACGCCCCAAGAGGGCACCAAATTAAACGCACATGTAACACGAACCGCTTCCTCGTCAAAGACGGCGGCGTGTCAAATTTGGATGAAACTGTTGGGGCTCTGGGACCTCCCTGGGGGCGTCCCTTGGCGTCCATTTCGGCCCTCCCACGATATCCTCAAGAGTTCTTTCGGGGGCCTGTGGGAATTTCAGGAGAGACCCAGGAGGCTTCTGGAGGCCCTGGAGGCCCCGCAGATCTCCAGAGCCCGGAGGCACCGGAAAAGCAAAACATGCCCCAGAAAGTGCAGTCGTCCGTTCACGTCCACAGACGACGACCACCACCCCCACCGCCACCACGAGCATTGCGACGACCACCGCGACGATCGTCGCGACGGCGGCGGCAGCGGCTGCGGCGGCGGCCGTGGGGGCGGCGGCGGCGGCGACGACCTGGCGGCCCAGAGCTTCTGGGGCCCTCCTCGGCCACCGTGGCAGTCACGGCACTTGCGCAGTCTGGGAACATTCGACATTTTCCGACGCGTCGCACGTCGATCGTCTCACGGTTCCGCGACCGCTAGCCGAGCCCGAAGCCCCTCCAGAAGGCCGAGCACTTCCACGCAAGGGCGGCCCTTGCCTGGGGAACTCTCAGTGGGTACTTTTGGGTTTTGTGAATGTGCAACGGCTGCGCAGTCGGTTAGAACCTAAGCGCGCGCGCGCGTAGCGCGCGTGGTTCTGGTACATGTATACATATATATATATAGACATATGTATATATAACATGTGTGGCGACATGTATATATACATATATACATATATATATGTATATATATATATGTGCATGCTTATGTTTGAAGCGAGTTTGGGACGTGCAAGAAACGCAAAGCGGTCTCTATATTATTGACGGCAACGGTCGCGCCATCTTCGTGGTGGCCGCTGCCGCACAGAGCACGCGCCTTCCCGATGAGCGGGGGGGCGCACTCGCCGCGCGCTTGCCCGCTGGCCAGGCAGGAACACTGCGTTTCCACGCAGCTCATTGTCGTTGTGGCGGCCATGCAAGTTCCATAGCCTGGGAGGGCCGGGGGGATACAGTGGGGCCCATGCCAAGAAGCACCCTGTTTGCCTTCAAGGTGCCCTGGGTCTTTTTTGGTTTCGATGGGTTTGACGTTTCCGCACGAGAATTCAATGGACGTCCTGGGGTCTCAGGGTTGGGTTTCCTGTGTAACGTTTTTTCTTTGTGGGCTGACATCCTCTGTAAGGCCCCAAGGGAAACTTGAGCTGCAAATGGGCGGCGAAGAAGGGGGCAGAGAGGCAGACAGAAGAGATAGCAAAAGCACGAACACCTCCCGGCCCGTCCCGGCTATTTGAAGCCTTCCGTTCTGCTTCGCCCGACCTCTCACGATTGAAGAGAGCTGGGAACGTGCAAACCAACTTCAAAAAAACGGTGATTGCAACATTGACGGCAACGATCGCGCAGTAATTTGTTGTGGCCGCTGCCGCCCGCTAGTGGCCTGGCCGGCGGCTTGGGCGAGGAGCGTGCTTTGCCTCCGCAGTGCCGACCTTGGCCCACCGAATTGAACTGCGTGGGTGGCGCCGATGCGCTGCTCCACAGTCCGTGATCTGCCGAAGCAGCCGCGTCTACTCCACTGCCCTGCCCCTTCGCCAGAGCGAGCCCGTGCGCGGCCTTCTCCGGGCCCTCCTCGCCGGCACCTCGCCCAGCGAGTCCTTTCGCCATCTCGTAGAGGCTTTCGCCGGACGGTCAAGCAGTGGCGAAGCGTCCTGGCTCGCCTGTAGGCCCACCAAAGAATGTACTAAGAACCTTTTTGTGGTCTGCAGGTAATGCTCTTAGAACATGTATGTTGAGACCGTCTTGTTTTAACACTGTCTTTGTTCGAACATTTTGGGGGGTCCAAGAACATTTCGGGGTAGGCCTACAGGGATGCAAGGACGGTCGGTCCCTGCTCAAGACGGGGCTAGTACTAGGATGAAGCCGTTCCAGAGCGTTCTGGAACGCTCTCAGGGTGTGCTGGAGCGCTCTGAGGAAGCCGCGGCGCCCGAGACATCCTCCAGAGCCGTTCTCCACGCATCCTCGCCCAATCCTATCCTCGTCCTGGCTTCGCCCTACGACTGACTCCTCGTCGTCCCCCGCGTGCGGGACGTCTGGCGCCGCGGTCTCTGTCCGCGCGAGCGAGCGCCCAATGCCCGCCGCGGCCGGGCACCGATGGCCACGGGGTATGGGGAGAGGGGGGGAAGGCTTCTTGGAAGCAACCTGCTTCTCAGAAGGCGCGGGCCTCATCTATAGATTGTAGTGGCCTTCGGCCAGTGCCGCCGATCCGGGGCGCTCCGACTGATGTGATCCTTCTTCGCCCTCGTCACTCCTCTCTTTTTCCCTCTCCTCCTCTCACTCAGCATTTATCGAAGACGCCTACGGCGAATCACCGCCGCCCCCTGCCTTTGTGGAAGCGCCTATGTGGCCGAACGTTGAGGCCAGACCTGCCAAGCCATCGGACCATGTGTTCCCCGAATCGGTTTGGAAAGCCTTCGGGGAACACGTGGGCGTCTTGATGGTCATCGTCGCCGTCTTGGAGGCCTCTTGGGCGATCTTTCGGCGATCTTTGGGGGCTCTTGGGCCGTGTCGGGCCGTCGGAAGGCCGAAAAAAGGGAAATGCCCAAATCCATCAAAAACCTTGGGAAAATCAGTGATTTTGACATCTTTTGGCCTTCCTGGAGGCCCTCTTGGGGGCCTCTTGGGCCCTTTTGGGCCAGCTTCGAGCGAACTTCGGCCATCTTGGTGGGTTCCTGGCACGTCTGACGCCGTCGGGAGCCGTTTGGGGGGCCTTTCTGGGCCAACGGGGGACCCTCTTGGGGCGCTCCAGGGCCGTCTTGGAGGCCATCTTGGGCGTCTTGGAGGCCATCTTGGGCGTGTTGGAGGCCTCTTGGGCCCTCTTGGGGCCCTCTAGGGGCCATCTTGGAGGCCACTTGGGCCATCAGGGGGCTCTCTTGGGGGCCTCTTGGGCGATCTTGGGGGCTTCTTGGGCCGTCTTGAGCCGTCGGAGAGCCGAAAAGGCGCAAATGCCAAAATCCTTCAAAAACCAAGGGAAAATCAATGATTTTGGCCTCTTCGGACTCTCCTGGAGGACCTCTTGGAGGCCTCTTGGGCCGTCTGGGAGGCCTCTGGGGGGCCTCTTGGGCCGTCTTGGGCCGTCTTGGACTCTCTTGGGCCGTCTTGGAGGCCGTCTTGGACCATCTCGGGCGCACTTGGAGGCCATCTTGGGCCATCTTCGCGATTGTTTGAGGATGTCCCGAGCGAAACTGCCGTTTTTGGAGGATTGTTTGCGGTCGTTGAGCACGTTTGGGAAAATTCCTGGTGGCCGGCGGGTTCTGCCGGAGCCCATTGGGAAGTTCTTTGGGAAAAAGAACCAAAACCAAAACCTGAAACGTCCAGCACGCCGTGCACCCCTGCAAGCAGGGGGCTGCGGATCCAGTGGCCGTCGGCCTATCCCGCCACCGTGCGTGGGTGGTGGGTCAGAGGCCTCATGGATGCTGGTTGGGATCTCGTGGTTGGCTGGGACTTCTGGGGGCCTCTTGGGCGCCTCTTGGGGCTTCTTGGGGGCCTCTTGGGCCTCTTGGGGCCACTAGAGGGCCTCTTGGGGGTCTCTTGGGAGCCTCTTGGGGCTTCTTGGGGGCCTCTTCTGCGCCCCTTGGGGCCTCTTGGAGGCCTCCTCGGAGCCTCTTGGTGCGGGAGGGGTGGTACTCGAGTTCGGAACCCCCTCGGAGGCCACGATCCTTGTGAGGGGTGTCAAAAAACGCATCCGCCGGAAACTCGCACCCCCCCCCCCCACCCCCCCTTCCCCGGCAGAGCCACCCCGGCAACCCCCCCAGAGGCTGAGGCTCAGCCTCGAGGCTGTAGCTGAGACTCCTTGAAACTCACACGCCCGATCGGCGGATTTCAGGTTGATGCCTTCTAAGAAGTAGCCTCCTTCTAAGAACATCGTCATGGTTGGCATCGCCCTGTCTCGACGCCAATCTTAGGGACCCCCCTCAGCTCCTGAGGGCGCATCCTTGAGGTCGTCCTCGCCTTTTGGCTCGTCGACCCTAGGGAGAGGAGAAGCTCGAGGCTGGCCAGAGGAGCCCCTACCTACTTGCGCGCGCGCCGCCAAACCATCACCCGTTCCTCGTCCGGCCCTGGCCTGGCTTGGCGGCCTCCATGTGGCTCCCCACGAGCCGCTCCCAGGGGCCCGCCGGGGTTGCCTGGGTGCTCTAAGGCCCCAAAGAGAATTTGAGCCTCAAATGAGTCTTGAGGAGGGGTGCAGTCGACTACACAGGAGTTACCCTTCGCCGGAGTGACCACTGGTGCGGGCTCACCGAGGCCCCCCGATCGCCGAATGCGGTGCGACTGTAGCGTTTTGCGCGTTCGTGTTTGGCCACCCCGCGTCCCCCGTTCAGCCGCGCACCAAAGGTCCCTCTTGCCTAGGGTCACTCCTGCGTGTAGCCGAGGCAGAGATCGAGGCAGACAGGAGAGAGAGAGAGAGAGAGCACGGGTAGCCCCAGGCCCGTCCAAGCCGCTTCAAGCCTTGCGTTTTTGCTTCGCCAGAAATCTCACTTCTGAAGAAGAGACAGGCGCACAGTCACACGCAGAATAAACTCTGGGATACCCTCGCGGAGTTCTTGGATCTGCACTGGGCCCCCTTGACGGCGCCTCCGGCGCCGCGCCTGGCGCGCTCCGCGCGCCAGTGTAGCCAGGGACCGGGGCTCAGCGCCGGTCCAAGAAACCCGCGCGGAGTTCCAACAGTTTTGATGTTCACGTCGCTTCGTGCTCTTTCCACTCTCGCTGGCGACGACGCTGGCGGTGGCAGGCGGCGAGTCTGCGGCGGCGGCAGGCGCCGGCGGCAGCGGCGGCGAGGCTGCAGAGCGACGGCGGCTCGGCCGACCGAGGCGGAGGCCGGTGTTTGTTGCGAGAGCGTTTCGCCGGCCGGCGGGCTCCGGCGTTCGACCAGCGGCGCGTCCCTCCGGCATCTCGTAGCGCACGAGCGGCGAGCATCTCCGCAGCTGCGCCCTCGCGGTCGGGGCTTCGGATGTGCAGTCGCCCGGGTGCGTTCTGCGCTGAGCTGGGCATCTGCGAAAGCACGCCCCGTATCCGCGTGGTCGCGGCCCAAGGGCCAGGCCCGCGAGGCCGTGGATGCGAACATGTTCACCGCCCACGAAGGAGTGGGTCTCCGACCCGAAGAGCAGGGTCTGCGACGCCCCTGGGGTTTGCTACCGCGCCGGGCAGTACCCCCCGGCGCTGGAGAAACTGAAGGCGATCCCACAGATACGCGTGCGCATGGAGGGTGCGTTCTGCGCGGGGCCTCCGCAGAAGAAGCGCCCCGTAACATCTGCGGGGTCGCGGCCTTCAGGGGCTTGGCCCGCGAGGCCGCTGATACGGGAATGTGCTTGTCGCCCACGAGTACTGTCGGAGGGGCGGTGATCCCAGACCTCCAACGTCTTTCGAGGAACGAAACACGGTTTAATGTAGGATGACGGTCAATAAATGTCCGGGGGTCGTGTTGCGTCGGTGGCGCCCCGGAGGATGATTAGAAAAAACCGGCCGCAATCGTTCCCCCCTTGCCGTCCGTCCTGGGAAACTATTTTATGGTAAAACTTAAATTCGACGTGGATTGTGTATTTGACGTAACATTTCAATCCGACGTCAAATGAGCATTCGGCATCATGTCTGAAGCCGACCTGGAACGAGTACTTGACGTAAAAGTTTGAAGCCGACGTAGAATTGTCATTTGACGTAAAATTTGAAGTCGGCGTCGAATGATTATTTAAGGTAACATTCGGCGACGACGTGAAATGATCTTCGAAGCCGACGTGTTACAGACATTGTTGAATCGTCCTCCTCCCGTTGAAATTCAGATAGAAATCAAAAGGAACTATTGTTTCATCGTTCCTCTTGTTTGTTTATTAATCGTCATCCTGCATTGAGCATACATCTTCTCCGAAGGTCCGCACGGATCTCTTGGATCCGCGTTGGGCCTCCGTGGCAGCGCCTCCGGCGCCGCCCCTGGCTCACTCCGCGCGCCAGGGAGGGGGATACAGCGCCGACCCAGGAACTCCGCGCGGACCTCCGAGAAGTTAAATCTAATCAGTTTGTTTGTTGATCTAGTCTTGAAAACTCAAGGTGGAGGTTTCTCTCAGTTCCAGGCCCCTGGAGGCCCTCGCCGGGCCCTGGGACCTGCAGTTAGACGACTCAGGATGAGGACTCGGTCCCGGGGACAGGGTCCTGACCCCTGGGGACCTCGCATCGAGAAACTCAACTGTGGGAACATGGGGTTGCAGGCAAGGGGCCCCAAGGGGCCTCGACGGTTCACGATAGTTGCACGTGTCTTCGCCCCCCCCCCCCCCGTTTCTCGCCCTCCAGCTTCAGCAGCCCGACGACGGGGCCTTGCGAGATGAGGCCCTGGTGACGAGGGGCGTCCAACAGCGACGGTTCAGCTTGGTAACTCTCTGCTGCCCTGAGGGCGCCATCCCTCAGGGCCCCATCTGTGAACCGCCGACACTGATTTAGCGACGCCTGATTCTCGTCCACTCTTCGGGCTCGCCGCGGCTGTCGCGCAGGCGCCGCCCTTTCCGCCGCGGGGCGCCTCGCGCGCCGCATGGCTGCGGCGGCGTCGTCGAGCCCGGGCTGTGGCCACTCGGGCTCGAGGCGCGCCGCCTTGTCGGCGCCGCCGCCGCCCTGCTGGCCGTCGCCGTCCGGCAGTCGGCGTCCGGCGTCGCCGCCACCGTTCCCAGACCTCCAACGTCTCGAGAAATCTCATGCAGAGGTGTTTTCACAGTTTTCGGCATCTGGGGGCACTGGCCAGACAGGGTTGGGCAGCAAGGCTGGGGAACGAGAGGGAAGAGGTGGAGCGAGTGGGAACGATACGAACAGAACGGACGCTGCAAGAGGAGGACGAGACAGACGACGAAGGCAGAAGGTTGCGCAGTGCTCCAGTCCCCGTTTTCTTGGTTCATGTTTCTCGCCAGCCGCTAGCCAGAGCTTCATCTCGCTTCCCCATCCATCTACCTCTCATTTCTCTGTTTACACCCCTTCCCCACACTCTCCCCACTCCTTCCTTTCATCCCCCGCACTCTCCTCCCAATCTTCTTGCCTATCGAGGCCCCCTCCTCCAACCCTCCCTTACCCGCCACGCACACCCGCAGGCGCGCGATTGTTCCCTCCAGGACCGGCGAGAACCGGAATGGATTCTTGGCGCTGGAGGAGCTGGAATCCATCCGCATTGGCAGGGACAACATCTCTCCGTGGTCCATACCCAAGGAGCGCGCGAGGCCTTCTTGGCATCCAGGCGTCTCGGGCGGCGCGAAAATTACCCTGGCGACGTACCCAACCCAAGTGTAGGAAATGGCCAGAACAGTGGGCCAATATGGTAATTACGCTGCTTTGTGAAAGCCGCACGGGGGGCCTGCTCGTTGTAAATTCACGGGGCATATTTCAGTGAGGCAGTACCTCAGCAGATCATTCAAGAGGCTTAGGCTATTCCGCCGACCCCCAGAAGAGGGTTGAAGGGGCGTCTTGAGGACTCTCTGGGGGCCCTCCCTTGGGCCTCTTGGGGGGCCTCTCCGAGCCTCTTGGGAGTTTCTTGGGTGCCTGCCGGCGGTCTCGGGGGTCCTCTTGTGGCGGAGGGCTCTCTTGGGCCCCTCTTGGAGCCCTGGCCCCTCTTGGGGCCCTGTTGGGGCACTCTTGGGCCATCTTGGGCGCCTCTTGAGCTGTCTTGAGACCCTCTTCGGCCGTCTTGGGGGCCTTCTTGGGTGCTTCTTTGCTCGTCTTGGGCAATCTTGGGGCCGTCTTGGACGCTACTACGACGAAAATTGCGATGTTGCCCCACAACATGCGCTTTCTCCAGGGATTTTGACGATTCTTGCTTCTCGGGGCCCTCTCGGGGGTCGTCTTGGAGCCTTCTTGGGGCATCTTTGAGGCCTTCTGGGCAGTTTTGAGGCCATCTTGGTAGTCTTTCAGGACTCTTCGACGGGTTGGAGACCAGCTTGAGCGAGCTTAGACGCCATCTGGGGCATCATGGAAACCACAAGCTCTAGACATGGAGGCTCCAGAGGCCACGGGGATGTGCTTAGGAGCTCGATGCCCTCCGCCCTCCGCCCCCCCCCCCCCCCACCCACTCGGATCTCAGACCCCAGGGGAGAGGGAAAGGGAAGGGGGACAGCTAATCATATCACACGCCTTAGCACCCTTGGCAAGCGGGGGCCGGCCGATTTGGAAAGGAGAGCGTGGGAAGACAACGATGACCACGAGAAGGAGGGAGGCGGAAGGATTTAGGAGGAGGTAGGGCAGCACTGGGGTCTCCAGCCGCTGCCTCTCGGGAGTGGCCCTCCCTGCCCAGCCCCGCCAGAACGGGCGGGGGGATCCCAGGCGGGCGGACGGCCATACGGGGCGCCCAGCCGCTTCGCTCCATGGCGGCTGTGCAGCCTGCGCCCTTGCACGAGCACAGCATGCAACGAGACCCCTACTGGCTCTCGAGAACCGCGGCGCATCCGGACAGCCATCGTCGGGCTGGGCTTCGCCACTCGCAATGGCGTGGCGTACCGTGCGCGCGACATCGCCAGCTTGATGTTGGCGCCCCGCCAACACAACCTCGACCAGAAGGCCGACCAGACGAAGTACATCTTCGTAGTCCGAGCATGGCAATCACGACCTTTCCATTCGCGAATTCGCCACGGCCGGGCCTCCTGGCTACATCGCCACCGACGCCAGCGCCAACCACGGCGACAACGAGGCTTTCTTGCTGTCGCCCTTTATCCTGGAGTGCGACCACGGTGCCTGCTACGCCATGGCCCCTCACGACACTTTTCCATCGGCCCCCAGGAAGACCCCCGCAACCCCCTGCCCCTACCCGAAGGCACCCAACTATCCCACCCGACAGCCCCCAGGACGGCCGAGCTCTGAGTGGCATGGTTCCGTGCCCAGACAAGGAGCCTCCCGTGTAGGGCATCCACGGGGAAGCGGCCATAGGGGCCGATGGCCAGCCCGAGGCTGGCGCGGCCTGCACCTCCGCCCTGAGAGGGTGACCGCGGCGGGCATGCTCAGGAAAGCGGTCATAGAGGCAGCGGGGGCCATTCCCTGGGACCCCCCGCCCGACCTGGGGGTTCCCGCGATCCAGCTCGCCCCACCCAACCTGGGGTTCCCGCGACCCACCACCACGGCGGCTTCCGCGACGGCCATTGCGCGACGGCCCTCCAACCACGGCCCCCGCGACGAATCCTGCGACGGCCCCCTGCGGTGGCCCTCGCGACGGCCCCCGCGACGGCCTCACCTCGACGGCGACGAAAACGACGCCCGCTACGACGGCGGCCACGCCCGCGACGAAACCCACCCCCTGCAACGCCAAGATGGGCTCGACGATAGACCGACCGACGGCCCGGCCCCCGACGCCCGTCCCGACGCTCTCCGCGACGCCCAGAGCGACGCCGCACCCCAGGCGACCAGAGCGCCGAACCGACGACCCCTTGCCCCGCGACCCCTCTTCTAACCGGCCACCGCCGCAGCCCCCCACAAATCGGCCCCCCGCGACGGCCCACCGCGACGACCCCCCCGCGACGGCCTCTGGGCGACGGGCCCCCCGCGACGGCCCCCACGAATATCTCGCCCCGACGCCGACGGACGCCCGCCACGGAGGCGGCGACGACCACGGCGAAGCCCTCCCCCATGCGGCGCCGACGCTGGCGACCGCCAAGGTGGGCGCGAGGACGGCCACGGCCCGCGCGACGGCCCCCACGACAGCCCCCACAACGGCGCCCACGACTGCCCCCGCGACGGCCTCACCGACGACCCCCACGAGCACGACTGCGAAGACGGCACAGTCTCTTCAGACGAGACAAGCTGCGAGGACGACGAGGACACGACCTCGGACGATTCCGAGGCGCCGAACACATGTATTGCCTCCTGGCGACAGAGCTGGCGGCACCTCCACGACCCGTCTCCTCACGACGCCGTCCCTTGCCCTTCGACGCCCTCCCTACCATTGCGACGCGAACGACGGTGGCCTCTACGATCCACTGTCCGTTATCGTCCTCCTTTAGGCACCACTGCCGCCACTACGGCAGCCGCACGGGTGCCACCACCATGGCATTTGTGTCCCCCCTTGGCTTCCGCCGTTATGGCAGACCCCCCCCCGCCCCTTCGCTGCGTGGGCAGCCGGCTGGGCCCACTCCTGGATCGCCATTCGTGACTCACCCGCGCCGCGATTGCGACGCCCCCCCTCGCCCCGCTTCACTTCGCAACCGACCCGACGCCCTCCCCACGCCCACCAGAGCCACCGCCACTCACCGACGACACCGGCGTACGCCTACTGACCCACGACCCCACCCCGCCCACCGACCCTCCCACGACCGCCACGCCACCAGTTCCGCCGATGACATTCCGCGGGACGCCGATTCCGACCGCGGCTGCTCGCCAAACCTCGATGCCAGCGACGGCCTGGCGCTCTAAGAGCCCGGCCAGGGATGCTGAGGCGGCCTGCCGCCGCAGGGAGGAAGAGAGGCAGAACCGGTGCAGGGGGAGTGGGCTGCCCAGCGCCCCGCGCCAACGCCAACGCAGCCCAAGCAACGGCCGCTTACTGCCGCGGACGTCCCCCTTCCCAGTGCAGGAGCCCCTTGTCCTGGGGGACAGGCTTCACCGGCAAAGGGTGCCCCTCTCCTCTCAAGCGTACCCCCAGTCAGGAGGTTCCCTCCCTGCGCCCTTCCCTCCCTCCACCCTCCTCCTCCTCCCTCTATTCTTCCTCGTCCATTCTCGTTTTCCTTAGAAATTCGCCGGCCCAACGAGCCAGAGGCGTGCCAAGATCTCCGGTAACTGGTTCATAATACTTTCTGGTTCGCGCGATCGGGGCGGCCCTTGGGGGTTCCCCGGCGAAAAGTACCCCGACCGCAGCCCGGCCACTGCAACTCAGATCCTGGGTGCGGTCTCTGAGGCCCCCCAGAGCGCGCCAAGAGGGCCCCAAGAGGCCTCCAAGACAGCCCAAAAGCGCTCCGAGTCACCGAACAAGCGGTCCAAGACGCCCAAGATGGCCTTCATACGGCCCTCGAGGCCGCCGAGAAGCCCCAAGAGAGCCTTAAGAGGCTCTCCAAGAGGTCTCCAACAAGCAAAAATCGTCCCATTCCCTAGGGAAACGTACATGTTTTGCATATGCGACGTCTGGGGTTCACAGCGTCTAAACGTGCCCAAGAGGCCCCCAAGATCGCCCTAAGACGGCCCAACAAGCCACCAAGATAAGCCCAAGAGGGCCCCAAGACAGTCCCAGAGACCTCCAAGATGGCCCAAGACGCCTCCAAGACGGCTCTAAAAACGAGCCCAGACGGGGCACCCGAACGGACATTTCGAGTTTTTGGCCCGGAGAGGTCCCCAGGAGGCTCCAAGAGGCCGCCAACACGCCTTCAAGGGGCCCACGGAGGCCCCCAAAAGGCCCTCAAGAGGCCCCAAGAGGCCCCCCAGAGGCTCCCAAGAAGCTTCGAAGAGGCTCCCAAGAGGCCCTCCTTGGGGCCCTCTTGGGAGCCTCTTGTGGCCTCCTTGCGCCTCGAGACTCTGTGAGGCCCTCCTTGGGCCGCCTTGGGGCTCTCTTGGGCTGTCCTGAGGCGCTCTGAAGCCGTTTTGAAGCCCTCTTGAGAGCCTCTGGAAACGTTTTGGGGCCGCCGCTCCCAGCAGCTCCGCACTGCCGACGACCTCTCGGCCAGGCCACCGCGGCGCGCAATATGGGCCGCCGGAATGAGCGAAGCGATTAAATCATTTCCCCCTGTCGTACCCCGAGGCCAGTTTTTAGGGCGGGCTGGGCGTTTCGCCTGAGACTTCCTCACCACTTATGATTCTGAAGCTTACATAATGGCAACAGCTTCACAGATTGAGGACGGGTGGTTTTCAACATGTGGCTCTTGCTTTAGCGCCGCGCACATTCGTCTTAGAACTTTGCAAGAGCTTCACCGGTTGAGGGCTTGTGGTTTTCAAAATGTGGTTCTCGCCTTAGCGCCGCGCATTTCCGTTTTGAAATGTTGCAAGAGTTTCACATGTTGAGGGCGGTTGGTTTTCTAAATGTGGCTCTCGCTTTAGCGCTGCGCACATTCATTTTAAACATTTGCAAGAGTTTGAGGGCGGTTGGTTTTCAAAATGTGGCTCTCACCTGAGCGCCGCGCACATTCGTTTTAAAAATTTGCAAGAGTTTCACATCTTGAGGGCGGTTGTTTTTCAAAATGTGGCTCTCGCGTTAGCGCCGCGCACTTCACGGATTCCCTTGATCAATGTACAAGAAATTGCGTTTTGGAAGGATTCCGGATTATGCGGGTGCAACAGTTATGTTGGTTCGCGGTGTTGAAGTCTCAAAAGTGGTGTCTGGCACGATTCCAGATCGTCAAGACGCAGCAGTCAGGTTGATCCGTGCCGTGGGCATCCCTAGAACAATGTGTTGGCATGCTTCAAAGTCTTCAAACGGTTGTCTTTCAACGAGGCAGTTCTCTCAATGGACATTGTAGGGGCCGATGAGGAGGGAGCTTGGAGGGAGGATAATTCCAACATCGTTGATGACTCTTGGGTTTACACTGGTCCTCCTCCTCCTTCTCCTCCTCCTCCCCGTCTCCATCGGATTCGCCCCCCCTCCACCGATGAACTTTCTAGTGTATGCGCCCTTCCTGGTGGCAGACCGCCGCCTTGGGGGGGGGGCATGTGTGCGCCCGTCTGGGGTTCTGAAGCCTTCAGTGTCGAGTGTTGACTGGGGTCTCTCAGTGAGCACCTAGGGTTACACCGGGCACGTCCCTCTACAGGAGGAATCTTTAAAGATAGGGTAAACACAGTCAGGGGACGATTTTCCACTATTTTGACTATTTCTGCGTATGTTTTGACTATGACTATTCTTTACTTGCCTTCACAATCCGTCTGCAGGGGGACATGCCCGACCTAAATTTAGGGGGAGGTTGATGTCTCGTCCGCCGGACCTCCCAGGGCCCACGAAAGGCGGCGACAGCATCGCACCCCTCAGCCGAGGCGAGGTCCAATTTGGAGCTGCGTAGAACGCCGCTCTGCTGGACATCCCAGAAGCCCAGGAACGTGGCGACAGGTTCGCAGCTCGCGGCACTCAGGGAGGGCGGGGTCTCAGTCCAGTATGCAACTCCGCTGGAGCCCCCAGGAACCCACGAAACGGAAACGCGCGACAATGTAGCAGTTCGCATCGCCCAGGGAGGACGATATTCCATTCTGATCTGCGTGAACCGCCACTCCGCTGGCCCCCCAGGAGCCCACGAAAGCTGCGACGGTCTTGCAGCTCACAGCAACCAGGGACGGCGAGGTCTCAGTCGGATTTACGTAAGACGCCATTCTGCTGGTCCGCGCGCAGGTGGCGACAGTATCGGAGGTGAGATCACCCAGGGAGGGCGAGAACTCATTTGAGTTGCGTAAAACGTCACCCCGCTGGACCGACTTGGAGCCCAGCCAAAAGCACGGCGATGGCTTCGCAGGTTGCAATTCCCAGGGAGGGCGAGTCCTCATCCTGATCTGCGTTAAGCTGTGTTCCGTTGGACCCGCCATGAGCTTACAGGAGTGGAGACAGTTTCGCAGGTCACGACACGCAGGGCGATGGTTTTTCAGAGTTGCGCAATGCGTCACGCCACAGGAGCTCACGACATCGGATTCAGTTTCGAAGTTCGCAGCACCCAGGGTTGTCGAGGAGTCATTATGATGTGCGACAAACGTCGTACTGCTAGACCTCCCTGGAGCCCACGAAAACGGAAACAGCAACGCAGCTCACAAAAGCCAGGGCGGCGAGGTTTGCGTGAGACGTCAGTCCGTTGGACCTCCCAGAAGCCCACGGGAGTTGCATGGATGCACCGTCGGAGAGAGGCAGTTGGGAGGTAGGCGGGAGGCGGAAAGAGAAGGAGTGAGGTGGGCAGACGGACGGATATCACAATGTGTTAATCCATACACATCGAGAACCCAAATGCAGGGTGGTTGATCAAACTAACGGCGTTGCTTCGGTTCGTTCAGCATCAACGGCCCTGGACCTTCGCGTGCCAGTCTAGCGTAAGGAATCTAACAGAAAAGTGGGGTGGGTAATTCCCGTCGTGCCGTGGTTTCTGCACGGCGTTCGGGTTGCACCACGGCCCTGGATCTCGGAGGTCGAAGTGAGCCGTGGAAGGGCAGGATTACTCCCTTCACTCCGCCTCCCAGCGTCCTCTGCATCCGCACCTGGGGAATTCGATTATGGCTCGACCCCCCGTTGCTTTTTCTGCGGGTCGATCGCTCCATATTGGCATGTTGTTTCACCTTGCTGCTTAGCATTGATAGGGCGCTCCCTCTGAGATCCGCGAAGAGAGGAGCAGCGGAGGGGACAGGGTGAGTCTTGAGGCAGAGCAGAAGTGATGAGTCGAGCAGTGAGTCGGGGCCGATTTGTTTCCCCCACAGGAGGCGTTGCTGCACGAGCCCGCCGAAGACCAGGTCTTCCAGTCTATGAAGGCCGAGCGGGGGAAAACTGATGATCGGGAGAAGTGCGGGGGAGGATGGAGATGTGGGTTCCAGCAGGCATAGAGGAAGATCGTAGAGACATTTCGGCAAGGTCTTCCGATCTGCGCACTCTCGAAGTATGGAGTTGCGCGCTCGCATCTCGAATTCCACAATTATTTCAAGGACCGTGTGCCGATGATATGTCGAGATGCCCGCGTATTGTGATTGCCGAGCGGGCTGGTGATCACGCACCCGTAATTTAATCAAGCGCAGCACGGGCGTACGTGTGTTGTGTTGTTTGTGAGTTTGGTGAATTGTTTGCCTCCCTGTTTCTGTGTGTAGATAACCGCCACTGCGCCGACAACCTATCACTTTGTCGTGCTTCCTGCCGCTTGTGCAGAAGTGTACGGCAGTCTTGGGATTCGCAGGCCGCAGTGTAGTACAACGTTTGTGTTGTGCAACCTCCTTCCAGGTGGAAGGAGAATGGATCTGATGTGAGTCTCCGTCGATTTGCGATCGTCTCGAATCAGGCAGTAAATCCGCTTACCCACTGCCCACCGTATTGCTTAAACATTGTGAGACGTATGTATGTGTCCCATGTACTTGTGTACAGCCAGTGTGCTGTTACGGATGGTGAGGAGTTGGATGGGATTTGTTCAATGTTCGTCTCGTTCACATCGCGCAGGATTGGCAGTGTATCTGGATGTCTAGTTACACGGGACACCCACGATTGGATATACAAATCTATGTATGTATATATATATATATATAGTCGAAGTGCCAACACAGCTCGATGTGTGTCCGTGTACCTCCCGTTTATCCGTACACATACCCGTTTAATTTTCCAATTATAAGAGCTAGCTTTTAGACGTGATTGCCTGCGTTTGCGAATACGTCCATGCCCTGCTCCCAGTTGCTGCCCACATGTTTTGCACCCACGTGTTGCACTTACTTCTTGCCCCCAAGTACCGCCCCCATGTGTTGCCCCCGCGTGCTGCCCCCATACACTGCCCGAAGCCTCATCTAGCCACGTGCCCGCAGAGAAGTACGACCGTTCGGGCCCCTGCGCTCTGATCGAAGACGCCTGCGCCGAACCACCGCCGCCCCCCTCCCTGCTGGAAGCGCCTGTGTGGTCAAACTTTGGGCCAAAGTCTGGCTAAGCTATTTGACTACGTGTTCTCCCAGCCGTTCTTGAAGTGCTTGGGGAACACTTGTGGCAGAAGAGAGGAGGAGGCGAGGGAGGAGAAGGAGGAACAAGAGACACATGAGGCTTCTTCGGAGCCTCCAGGGGGCCTTTCGGGGGCCTCTGAGGCTGGGATGATCTCGGGGTCTCCTGGGGCCCTCTTGCGCGGTGTTCAGCGCGGGGGCGTCTGGGGTAGTCCCAGAGCTGTCTCGGAGACGCCTCGGGCAGCCCCGGAGTTGTCTCTGCCGCCGTGGCATCGCCACTGTGCTGCCACGATACCTGGGGCGACCCGCTGATTCTGGTCACAACAAGCTGCTTTGGATTTCCGCCAGACCGTGGCGAAAGCAAAAGCCAGAGGTGCGGGACCACATGGTTCCTTGCTCGGAGGCAGAGGTCGACGAACATTTTATTTTGGCAGTCTCGTGGATCGTCTTCCTTTTCTCTTCGACTTCGTTTAGTTTTCGCTCTGGAGCCTACCATTGGTCAATCACGGTTTGGGATTCGCCAAAAACGTTATTTTGCGCAACCCGCCAGACCGTCTTTTCTTGTGTTCTTCAAGGCGTTTCAGAACGAACGCGCGAACGAGGAAGGAGGAGGACGAAGGAAGGGATAGGAGGCGGAGGGATAGGAGGAGGAGCGGAGGAGGGATAGGAGAAAGAGGGATAGGAGAAGGAGGAGGATGAGGAGGAGGAGGAGGAGGAAAGAGAGGAGGAGGAGGAGGAGGAGGAGGAGGAGGAGGAGGAGGAGGATAAGGAGGAGGGGGAGGAGAGATAGGAGGAGAGGAGGAGGAGCAGGAGGAGGAGGAGGGATTGGAGGAGGAGGAGGAGGAGGAGGAGGAGGAGGAGTAGGAGGAGGAGGAGGAGGAGGGATAGGAGGACCGAGGGCGTCAAGCAGGCGCCGACATCGGCCCTGGCTGGGCCGACCCTGGCCCCCCCCCGGCCCAGACCAATTGGGGGCGTGCGCTCCGACGGACCGGGCCCCGGACGGGGCCCAGCCAGGGCTTGCGCCAGGCTGAGTCATGGTAGTCCCCAAACGTGGTGGTGACAACACCTGGCGGTGAGTCTCGGGCGATTTGGTGTCACCACCCGGTTTGGGGACTCGTGCGGCTTTCCGAGGATGTCCCGAACACTGGTGGGTCCAGGAGTCACAAAACCCGGTGGTGACCCCGTGTCCCCAAACCCAGCGGTGACCTTTTTGGGGATTCCAGGTCGCCACCTGGTATCTCACCACCCGGTTTGGGGGGTCCCAAGAGTCGGCCATGCGTAAGAGTGACCCTTAGCCAGCGCGACCTCTAGTGTGCGCCCACGGTAATGATGATGACGATGACCGCGATGCTGATGATGCTGATGATGATGTTGATGATGATATTGATTATGATGATGATTAGGATGCTGATCATGATGATGATGATAATGATGATGATGATGATGATGATGATGATGATGATGATGATGATGATGATGATGATGATGATGATGATGATGATGATGGTAATGGTGGTGGTGTTGATGACGATGATGATGCTGCTGCTGCTGCTGATGATGATGATGATGATGATGATGATGATGATGATGATGATGATGATGATGGCCGTTCTCCGAACTTTACTCCTGAAGCAGAATGAGAGCCGCCAGATGCGTTCGCCTGATTTCCAGTGTTGTGTTCTACAACAGTTGGCAATCTGCATGCATCTGCTCCGAAGCCTTTTCACTCGAGATGCGGCCTGCGGGAGCACACCTTGCCAAGCTAGGCTTCCTTCTGGCCTGGATTGTGTTTGGCCCGACCGCTCATCAGCGCCTCGCCGGCGGTCCTGTGCCGCCTCCCCCGCCTCCGCCGGCTGCGGAGGTCAACCTGGAGCCGGAGGCGCCCTCTGCGGAGGCCTGCGCTGCCTGGCCCCCGCCCGCTCCGCAGTGCGCGGAGCCAGTCGTGGAGCAGCGCGCGCCCTCGCTGGAGGAGTGCGTCGCCCTGCTCGGCCAGCTCCCCGCTGCCCGGCCAGTCGGCGCCCCAGCATGTGTTCCTCTCGCTCGCGGGCCCGCTGCTCGTGGAGGGGCTCCGCTGACTGGCGTCCGCTTGCGGGCGCTGCGGTCGGCGCGAGGCCCAGCGGCCTAGCGCGCCCCCGCCCGCGTTCGAGGGCACGCGGCCAGCGCCGAGCTCGCCGACTGGCGGGAGTCGACCGCCGCTGCAGCACCAGCCCCGCGGCGGTGGCGTCTATCGATGATTGAGGGCGATCAGCTGTTCATTGAGTATGCGGTGCAGCCACCGCTCCCGCATGGCCGGGCCGTGGTGGCTATGTCGGCGGTCCGCCCTACCGATTGTGTGGTCATCAGTCCTGACGACGGTTTCCACATCGAGGAGTTGGGACCAAGCAGCACTGACCTTCGAGCCTGGTACCGCCGTGTCAACGGAAGGGGCCGTCCACCTGCAGCTGGGGGCATCCCTGTGTACGATTTCGCGGCCCCGCTAACGCGTGCCGACTTCGCTGCGCTGCGCCCCCGCCGCCGTCTGGATGGTGGCTGAGCACGACGCCGCACTCGTCGCTGCAGGGGTGCAGGCTGTCGTGCCTGCGGCAGCCGTTGCTGGCCCCGGCTCCGCGGCGGCCCTTGCCCCCGCGCCGCCTGCTCCCGCCGCCGCGGGAGGCGCCGTGGGCCTCGCCGCAGCCCTGGCTGGGCCTGGAGGGCCCGCTGGCCCCGCGCCTGTCGCGGGCCCCCCCGCGGCCGCCGCCGTTGGGGCCCTGCCTGCGGCGGGGTTCGTCGCTTCTGGGGCCGCTGCCGCCGCCGGCGCCGACGCTGGGCATGGAGGTCTTCATGCTGCGCTGGCCGCCGGCCTAGGGCCCGTGCGAGTGGACGCTGGTGACGATTTCCGCACGCTGCCCTTCTGCTACGACGCGGAGGGGAAACGCCACAAGGAGTTCCGCGACTGGGTCGAAGAGATGCGCCAGCAAGCCAGGCCTGACTGGGTCGTGCCTGGGCCGTGTACGGTCCTCTAATGCGCGAATTTCATGCTGGAGGATAGCGGGTCAGCAGTTGGGCATCACGTCTCCTTTCGCTCCGCGCGCCGCATTGGCCTCGACGACCCGGCGATGCTACCCCACTCTGAGCTCGAAGATCTTCCAGACGGCGATGTGTTACGGCCAGATCTATGCTTGTAACCTTGCCTCGATGGGCCTCATCTTCCGACAGATACAGGTCTGTGAGGAGAAGCTCAAAGACCGTCTGTTGGGCACCGCGGGGTCTGGTCACCAGGAGCACGACGAGAGCCCCACGGTGCGCCCCGCCCTCTCGAAGTGGGTCGCCGAACAGGTGACCGCAGAAGACGCTGTGCTCAAGGAGAACGCGGTGCTCAAGGAGCGCCGAGCTGCTCGGGGGAAGGGGGCGCTCGCCAAGCCGCCGCCGCCGCCAAACCGCCGTCGAGGCGAGCAGGGCGGCGGGCAGGGCGGCTGATCAACCGCGCCGTCTCTCTTGGACAAGGCTGCTGCTTGCGCCCTGGCCGCGCGCAGGAGCTCGCGACGCAGGCCTTTCGCTCCTGGCCGATGTCGGCCAGTCGTCGGCGAGACATTTTTTTCTCTCCTTGCTCGAGGTGCCCGCCAGGCTTCCAGGTGGCCCACGAGCTGTTCAGCGTCGCCGGGGGCGACTTCGGCACAGTGCTGGACTTGCTAATGACGCGATCGTCTCCCCCAACTTGCTGGCTGGCCGCTCGCGCCGCGGGCCAGCTCGGCTGGGCGCGGTCGCCCAGGCGCTTGCGAAGGAGCGCATCACGGACAACTGCGTTGCGCTGGGCCCCCCGCCCCGAGATGTCAGCGCCTACGGGGGCCTGCGCGAGCTCCGATGGG